CGGATAAATCAATTATCCTTGATGCACCATATCGCAATATAGCCTTTTCAATTGCCGTTAGTCTTTTCTTATTTTTTACTGTTCGTGCGTTTTCAGATATTTTTTTCGGAATAGATGTCATCGACGTTCTTTCCCGAAGGCAAAGTCCAAACTTTTGAGTTGGAAAGGGCAACATCAAGCGAGTCTTCCGAAGGCAAAGCTTCCTCGTCTTCGTCGCTATAATCATTTGCTTCATTCGAAGGAATCCCATCACCGGTTTCATCATCTTCATCCATTTGTGCATAATTTAAAGGAGATGGCTTCGTAATCTTTGTACCGTCAGGTAGTGTATCACCCTAAAAGAAAATAATTTATCTTTTTGTAAAAGATGTTTTTGTCAACCAAAAATTAAGTTATATACTGACTTTTTTTCCTGATTTAGATTTCTTTTTTAATGAAGGCTTTTCTTCATGAAATCTAACTCGCTTTGTTTGATTTCGTTCATCTTCCTAAAGGATTAAATGGTAAAATAATTAGTTCCACGAATTTTCAACTAGATAAAAAAGCATTTCTATACCTCCTCTTTATCTATTTTGCTAGACATAATTGTTCCGCCGTTGCCATCCCCTATATTGGTTATATTCCCATCCCCATGAACGGTCGCAATCATCGGCTGGTTAATATGAACTTGCTTTCGTGATCGTTCCTGATCCCAATCTCTTGCTCGTCGACGATCGGTTTTAGGTACCTAGAAAAATTTAGGAAATTAGCACCATTCTCGATCTAATAAACCTCCAATAATCCAATACCCTATCCCATCAGAACATCAGGCAACCAAGTAGGTCACCTGTGCCCAGTGGGTCCAGCGTCAGATCGGCAAGTAGCCTTTGAACATCAGGCAACCAAGTAGGTCACTTGTGCCCTGACACCAGTTTTGTGGCTCGGCAATTAGCCTTGAATGACAAGCAACCAAGTAGGTTCGTGTCACGCCACTGAGACTGTTGTGAAAGCTCCTGCGAGAGTAGAAACAAGTTTCTACGGTAGTAGCAGAGTAGGACTTCAACAAAAAGTATTTTCTACCTTCTACATGGCATTGTGAAGTTTCTGCGACAGTCTCCCCCCACTCATTCACAAAAAAAAAAGTTTACTTGCCAATCTATAATTATCAAGGAGCTTTTTTGCTGTTTCCTTCCTGACACCATGTTCACTTTCGAAAATAATATCGAGACATTTAAGGTAACGATCTATTTTCCTCTGAAATGGTTCCAGGTCGCACTCTTTCAGAAACCCAATGATATCCCATTTCGAGGTTTTACGATTGAAATATTCATATTCTTTGCTTTCCGACATTACTCGAGTATGGTTGGTTATTAATCTGGAGACGATCGACTAACAGCCAAGCCTCCGCCGGGTGATGTCACCGGTGACATTTCCCAAGAATACTTATGAAAAATGTAAACACAGCCGATGTGACAAAATTTTGAGGTCACGTGGGGTGGAAAAAGCGACGGTAAATCAGAATATGAATATTTTATCTTTCCAAAGCCCAAATGTTGGAGAAAACTTTATTAATGGATTTTCAGATACAATACATAGCGAATTAGAGAAGCGAATGAAATATATGATGCTATCAAAGAGGGAGAGACCCTAGGCCATTTAATGCGAGTCCCAGCATCAATTATTTCACGTTTACAAAAAATATCTATAGCTAATTTGTCTCTACTAACTACAAGATTCTCACCCCCACACTTTTTTACTACACTAGATTTCCGAAATAAATTATCCCCATATTTAAAGAATTTTTGTCTATCTATATCTCTCCCAAACACACAGACTATATAAAATATTATTCCTCGAAAAAGAATTCTGAGATTAAGAAATTTCGAATCTATAGTATATTTACGGGAGTATTAGCAACTGAGTTAAAAAAATAATACAAGACAACATTACCGATTTACACTTACTATCACGATTCATTTCACATAATTCCATTCCGCCTCATATATAAGAAATGTATTGCTTAATTTTTTCCGCGTTATCGCTGGTATGATACTGCGCAAAAGTTTCAAGTTTGTTTGATATACTGCGCCAGACTTTTGCTGTGCCGTTGCATATGATGAGATTCATGTGAGTAATTTCACTGCGTCCATTGTATGCGTGATGATGGCCAAAGATTTTCTCGGCGAAGATCAAAATGCCGATATATAGCAAGAAGACCGAAGGAAGTAATATGTCCGTTTTATTTTGTAACATCTACAGAGGCAGGAAAATCGATTAACATCGTGATGACATGTTTCAAGAAGTTAACCCGAACTATAAAACCAATATACCTTATTATTACAGTTTGCAGATTATATTCGTTTGTTTGATTGTTGTAAATAATGGTAAGTTTGAATGTTTCGCTTAATTTTTGTTTTTATTTGCACAAGGTGGATAAAAGATTCACTAACTGGGGCGGACACCTTTTTATATAATTCACAGGATCGATTTTTGCTATACGCTTTTGGGGGAAATTATGTTAATATGATCACATCACGAAAATCTGATCAACGGCTTCTCCCTTAATTTAACAATAAAAAAAATTTAACGCTATTCATAATCCATATGTAAAGATCATCAAGGGGCTATACATATTTTTGAGAATGTGCGAGAAAGTTTGAGAATAAATTATTTTGCGCAATCACTTGTTCCTGTGATACATGTAATAATTATTATAATATTACTGCGTATTTATTTATCAAGCTACAATAAACTTGATCGAAAAAATGTCTGGTAAATTTGCACCATCACTTTATTGATCAAATTACTTGAGGATATTTACATCGCTTATAAATTCCTTCCGCCACCTTCTTACACCTTTTGCAATACAGATGTGAGTGATAATCGCATTTCTCACAAACCTTACATCCATGCTTCTATCCCCTAAATATATGCTATTTTTCAAAGTAGTTCTGGTCTTTCGGCTTCTTATAAGCTTTATTATCCTGATTGTTTGGTAAGAAATTCGGCATGATATATTAATAAAATCACCAAAATTTTCCCGAGAAAAAAAGTAGGTTATAAAGTCCCCTGTGTTATATGATAATTGTGAATACTCTTCACGCTTCCAACCAATAGAAACATGATCTACAAGAAATACTGATGAACATTGTGTCCGGGCTCGTCCAATTGCACAGAAGCAGGATCAGCATCCGGTTATTGTTTTTTATGCATATAAGATCAGCATCATACTTGGCTGGATTGTATAATGGCAAATTTCAGCGGTCTAAAATCATTCCTTCGAATGATCCGCACTCGGATGCAACTATCTCCTCCACTTCAGACTCGGAAAAATAACTTGAATCAGAAGAAATAGATTCAGTTTCTGTCTCTGTTTCAGAATAGCTCGAATCGCAATATTCACCTAGGTCAATAGAGGCATTCTGATCAATATCATTTGTTTTAAAATTTGGCCATATTAGCTCGTAAAATATTTGCAATGAAGTAATAATTTTTTAACACTATTCCTCACATTATACCACTCAGGAGTATACATACATATTTTTGGTTTTGGGTTAATGTATTCTTCAATTCTATCCCTTATACGCCATAACCACGTTACTTCTAAAACCACATTGTATTTAGGCTTGTCAATAACTAAAAACTTCTCGGTTGATTTTCCTAAACATTGAGGTAAAGTATTACTTTGTGATTTTAAGTCAAAGATATTCAAAATAGAAATAGAAATTTTTTCACTATAAAGCCAGCCTCTTACCATTACTTTCTTACCAGCATTAGTTGCTTCAATACCAAGGCTTTTCACTGCAGAATATTTTGATCCAAACTCCCTAGATACATATAAACACATTTTTCTAGTAAGCGCTTTACTGATATTATTTAAGCGGAATTTAGGGTTGATCAGTGTTTTGACAGTTATTTTAGCATCAATAAATGTACAATCTACTATTACTTTTCTGCGTATTTCTCGAACTACCTCATCTTTTTATATATTATTAATACTGCAACATTTTTTAAGATCCTGTATCAGTAAATTCTTTAGAATAAATAGTATTAGTTCAGGCAAAAGAAGATCAAGAAAATTAGCTATATGCATTATATATGGTTAGATTTTTTTTCAATCAGAAAAATGATTCTTCTAAGTTAATGGTCATTATTCCAGATTAGTTAGATCAAACTGCTCAGATCAGATTCCTTTTAGGTTTTGCCTTCTTTTCTGATGACGCATAATCTGAATCAGATGAACTATACTCAGATGATTCGGTTATAGCATTATATAGATAACAGATTTCTTAACCAATTCTTTTAAGATTTTAATGTATTTTAGTTATATTATGTTCTAGTATTATAATAGACTCTTTGATATTCACAATAGTGTATATCTTTTCTTTTTCCGAATCTGTGTAATATTTTTTAGAAGGCATTTTTATATATCTGAAAAAATAACTGAATATTTATTGCTTTAGAAAAAATCTAATAATTATGTAAACTCTGTGACTTGACTGGTCTAACTCGCTCACAAATCTAGTTTATTACTAATAGCTAGATATATAAGACACATATTCGTTTTAATATTTTTCTGAAAGCTTAGCTCTTATAACTCTTTTTTCAGCCTCTTCATAGGAAATATCATCTTTAACCATATTTTTATATGCTGTGACACGTAAATGTCTATATGTTAAACTGGTTATCCCATCAGATAAGATTCAGCACTTAGTATCTATTGAGCAGAGAGCTTTTTTTTCTATTTCAATAAGGGATATTATGTGATCTTTTGCTCAAAAACTAATATTCTTAGTATAGAATACTTCCTTTCCAAAAAGGCAATCCTGATATACTTAGGTCAAAGGATTAAATATCTTATTTTCTAGAACAGAATCATCTAGTAAAAACCCACTTAATGATGAAAAGTATATATCTATTACTATTTCATTCATACCCTTCTTATAAACCCATATGTGTAGACTTTGTAGTCTTATTAGCTAAGACATTGTGGTAAGCCTTTACTCAGATATAGATTGATTCTATAATTATTTTTTCATTAGGGCACTCATCTTTGAAAAGCCTAATAGTTTTTAAGTCATTAAAGTTAAAAAGGTCTGATCTTTTTTCCATATCTTTATAGATATCTTCTGTTTCGATTATAAATATAAAAGAGTCTTTATCCGTATAGTCAAGTTTGACTTTATCCCATATTTGTCCTTAATATAGTCATATCAGAAACGATATATCAAAAGCTTACTAAGGCCTAATACTATACACTAACTATGATGAGCTTATTGAGAGTCACGCTAGCCTTTCTCATATGTGTTTCTACTAACGTATCTCTAAGTTGACGTTCATATTTGAAAGAGAGCTTACGAACTTTATTAAGGAATTTCTTCTCATCTCTCTCATTATTTATAGCCATAAGCTTAATATCCTGATACTTACGAATATTTTCCATAGTCTTGCCATATACTGAGTTATTCATGAGCTTAAAAAAATTCTTTTTAAAGGTATTCTTAGCTTTCTGACACAACTTGGTATTTTTTGCAATATATGGAGCAAGCCAGTTAGTCTGGTCGAAAGACATAATTTCTGTAACTTTATCTACAATCATTCCTAGCTTTACATAATATTGAAGTTCTTGGTAATAGATGACATAATCTTTTCGAGAACCTAGATGAGGTACTAATTTTTCTATTGCTAAGAAGCGTCTTCCATCCATTTTATCCACAAGTTTAGCATTATAGGTACATAGCATATCTTTTTTTACTGCAACATTTTTCATGGCTAGAGGCAGGTAATTTAAATAGTCATGAATCTTTAGAGAAAAATGTGAGCAAATATTCAGATAGAATCCACATGATGCATCTGCTTTAGTCTTGAGAATTATTTCAAGATATTTCTTTTGCACCTTAGGATTCTTAAGAAGATATTCCTAACTAGCGATCCATTTATAATTTTCAATAGGTAAGAACTAACTTATAGCCCAGCTGTAAAAATTATTTGTATTGATATATGAGATTCAAGTTATGGGTTGAGATAGATCGAAAGCCTCTTCTATCTTCAGATTATTGGCTTTAAAATATCAATGCACTGCTATAGCAATATCATTACGCTTGGCTTTTTCAATAAAGTCATGCATAGCAATTTCTGTGAATAGCTCAATTCTAACTCCAGTAAACTTAAGCATAAAATTCTAAGACAATGATGGAGCAGATATGTAGTGGCAAGGATCAAGCTTATAATATTTCATAGATATCTTTCAGAATTTAGTCTAGACATCAGTAAGGTTGAATATGTCTGTTATAAGATATAAATCATAATACTCACCTAGATTCTTACATCCAAATTCCTTCTATATTTTCTGGATATATTCATAATCCTCTTGTAAAATATCCCCCTTAAGCTGACTATAGAATTTATGAAATGGAGAAAGTTCTGTTTCCAAGAAACTTTCGTAAGAATCTATATAGTCATATAGGTATACCTTCTTACAATACACTAAGACTATTTGTTCATCTGTATAGCTTTTACTCTTAAAATACTTATTAGTTACTAGATGATCATCTCTTAAATACTTTGTGAGATTGGCCAAGCTATCATTCATAAACTGTTGGCTATCAATATATTTGAACTGATCTATCTTCATGGATTTATATCACTCAAATGTCTCAGCAATAACACTGATCTGATAGGCATTAACAGACTGCCTGACTGATTCACAGACTAAATGAGAGTCATATTCCTGAAAGCTATGGAATACAACTGGAATTGGAGTTTTTCATAGTTTGATCTGAAGTTTGAGATTGCAGGACTTATGTAACGCTTCACAAAACTTACCTAAAATATGATAATGATCCTAAACCTTATTATCTTTAGATTCAGCTAAATCGATTTCTTTAGCTACTTTAAGAATAGTTGTTTTTATAGATTTACACTCTTCCGAATCTTTAGCAATATTTTCTAGCTTTCTATTAAGCTAGACAGACTTATTTTTCAAGCATCTAATCTCTTTTCTATCTATAACAAATTTACCTTTACAAATCTAATAGCTATCTACTTCTATAAATTGTCTTTTATTTTTATCTGTAATAATTCGCTCTGCTTTAATAGCTAAGATCTTATTAATTTTTACCAACTCCTGATCAATCTTTTGAACAAATTCTTGTATAGCATTTGGCCCATGATATAGAAAAGGCCCCATATCTCACCTGTATCAATTCAATAGACTATATAGCAGAAACTATTAGCATATTACTTTGAAATTAGATGAGTCTTTCCTCTATTAATTAGTCTACATTTCTTATTTCTGGCTTCAAAGTTAGTTGAAATCATACATGAGGTATTGATCATTCTCCTATGATTCTTGAATTCCTCAAAGTCATTAATATCTTTTATAGGCATTATAATACGTTGAAGGGCTTCTCCCAATTTAAAATACCACTCCTGATGATAGGCTAAGAATTTCTCTGTTGGCCAACCCTAAAAGTATTAATTGTATAAATGCTTCTTATTACTATAAGCAGAATCTTTGTATATCAAACCATCCAGATTTTTGATCCAGAGGAAGTGATTCTTTTGTCTGTACTTACCTTCTTCAGATTGGATTATATCCATAAGAGCTATAAGATGAATTATATGCAGTTTTTTTTCATTACATTTGTTCAGATTATTATGCTTATAATTTTCTATTTTGCATGAATTTGGAATATAGAAATTCTTACTAGAAACTACAGGTTTTGGGCGTGCAGTTTCTTTATTCCATTTCCAGAAATATCTGAATTCATCTCCTCTATCTTATTAAAGACTTATAGACAGATAGGAGTTGGCATTGAAATCCCATCAAGCTTGGTCTTTTCTAAATATTTTTGAAGACTTCAATATATATATCTACTAAGATAGTCTGTAATTCTATCCTGATATGCAAATAACAACCTAATGCTTCCCAAAGATAATTATCTATTAGCTTACCCGTAACTAGATCAATAATGTCTGAATTATCTGAGTTGATAATACACTTTGTGTTGGTAAACTTCTTGGAAGTGGATGTATGAGCCTTCATGAATATAGCGAAAAATATAAGACTCAATCAATACTATTTCTATTTAGAGGAGAATCTTGCCAAACTCTTCTTTTAAGTAGAGTTCGATCTTTTTATTGATTTCTCTATCAGAAAGAGTTATATGCTTATCTATATATTTCTCAAAAAGGATTTCTCATATTAAGCCTCTATGATATGGTAATAATAACTAGTTTCATAGTTAACAGAGTCTGCAATATCACTCTTTCCTTTATATGTATATTTTACATATATAGCATATACAGGGGGGTGAAATAAATATTGAATAATTTTTATTTGATGTTTATTTATATTTATTTGCTACAATAAATTCGTATAATAT